ATAGTGTTTCATATCTAATTGACAATAGCATTCGAGCGGATTCATAAACAAAAGAATATTCTGAGTATATCCTTAGAATATTTTGTTGGGAGGATAGGGCATCTGGGGTATAAAAGCAGGTGTCAATTGTCTTTTTGGCAACCCGAGCCAAGCTGAGCGGCCTTGGTAGCAAGCTAGGAGGGAATTGAACTAATGTATTTTGTATTATGGACAAATTGTAAAACCTTTTTGGTACCAAATCAGGTTCATTTTTGGCACCATGATACCTTTGAGCGCACTTTGAAATAGGCCCACCATGCTTGGGGCACAATAATGGCTGTCAAAATCTCACATAATCATAATTTACTTGTCCCCCATATATTTCCACAATACGGAGATCTTGCCCACCATATCTCCAGGACCCGTAGTCCATCTAACATTTTGGTGTGCATATTCTCTGTCTCTGTGGCACATCTACTACACCAAGGCCCCTCGAAATGCCCCTTGTTGTTTTGGTTGACCCCTTCCCCACATCCGTATACCTAGGAGTTAGTTTATTCTATTGTAATACAATAGTACAATCATACTATGAGGGCCCTTGGCGTTTCTATCCTATATCTTGGTCCTATCCTCGTATCTATTTTTGGCAGCATATGTGTATGAAGGTCTGGAGCTGCTCCATCTGACTGGAAGTTAATGGATTTGATTATCGAGTTGTGAATTTGCGCACATAGGTTTGTCAAAGTGGTGTTTGAGAAGGCATAGTGTGGTTGGTGTGCAATTCGCATGCGTTGGTGAATTCGTTGCCACGCATGTTGATTATTGGAATGCAATTCATGGAAATGGTTGCAAAGTGTGTGAAGATATTGGATGGCGGCATGCATGTGTTAGTAAGGTTGTTCAGGGTGGTGATCGGGTTCATTGGGTGCGTCATGGTTGCCGATCCAATCAGGTGGTGCACGTGATAGGGGGCATGGAGAATCTCCATTGGAGATTTTCCTCCATGCATTTGTTTTGTTCTTGATTGTGAACATTACCGCTGCCACTTTCTGCACAATGTGATGGGTTTGCATGACACAATTTCCTTACCAAAGCTGCCATCCGGTCCCCGAGTGACAAACCTGCGCTCAATCCACGTGACTGACCACAAACGCCCGGATACAGGCAAGCCCGAAACTTCGGGGTCGCTGCAACCATAAGGCCCATGACAAACTCGCCCCCCTCATCGGTGCATGTACCATTGTACAACGGTCATGAACGCGACCGTCGCCCAACAGCCCAACAGCTGACTCCTCACAACGTTGTTGTGAACGCCGACGTGCCCGCCCCATTACCCATCCCCCGCCGTCTGTCGGGCACGGCCGTGTCAAGCTGCCGCCATCCTTCCTCCCTCAACCCAAGCCGCTGGGGGCGCCGTGGTCCCGGTACACGGCGACGTCAGGCTCAACGCGCAGGGGTCCCCATCAGAGCTCGGCTCCTCGCCGAGCCCACGGCGACAGCTACCCCGCCGGGGACGCCCCCCCTGTATCTCCACCCGGCCCAAAGGCAAAAGCCGTGAAACATCGGCGCTGGGAAACAGCGAGTTCGGGCATAACGAGCGCGGCAGCTTGGACGTCAGCCCTTCGCGCCCTCGCGTCGAAGCGCGAAAATGGGAAGTTCGCGGCTGGGTGTTCTGGCGCTGATAATCAGTTCAGCGACGTGCATCAGTGCAGCGGTGCACTCGAACATGGGTGCGAGAGCGTGGCTGCCAAGGCTTGGGGACGGCGATGATAATGGCGGAATGTCGTGGGCCGCGTTGCGCGGCTGACATGGCAGCGGCCTAACTCGCCCGTGCATGGAATTTGCATGCCCACTAGGGGCTGCGATGAGCCCGAGGGACGCTGGAATGACGTGATGGAATGACGCTAGGCGCGGTGCTGGATGTGAAGGCCTGCTCAGCGACAGGGGGCGCGAGCGAGGCACTGGCGCCCACGGCGGAGGCATGGGGAAGCAAGCGAGGGCAGGCCCAGGCGAACTGCAGGCGGCGGGATGCATGGCGTGCGCACGACTGGACAGGAGGCCATGGAATCGAACCAGGAGGGCGCTGATGTGATCATGGAAGCCGCGGGGCAGTCATGCTTATAGAGTAACGCAAGTCTAGAAGGTTCTGGACATTTGGAAGGTTCGGGAAGGATCATTACCAACTTAGGGTTGACATGGCAGCTCAGGGATCATCTGGCTGATTGGGAAGGATCTTGGAAAGTTTGGAAGTCTGTGCAACAGCTGGCCGGCCTATAAATAGAGGGGACTGTCCGAACACACTCCCCTCCCTCTTTTCGCTTGGCACATCCAGTGTTCTGGCTCCCCCCCGACGGCCGATATCTCTTGGTGACAAGTAGCGAACTCGAATCGAGACGTTGTGAGGTTGAATCTGAATGTAACAAGAGGTTGTTCGCTGCTGAATATGTACGTCCAATAGGGTGCTGGCCCTGAGGAAGTGTGCGAGACAGGGGGCCACTGCGCACAACCGTTGGCCGTGCGAGTGTGCGAGCTTGGGATTGCGAGAGCGAATCGCCGCGTTGCGTTTCACGTGGTTGAGTGACGACAGTTCAGGTGAGTCGTGCGTGGGCGCTGCACTAAGTAGGCGATCCAGAGATGGCGAATGCGAGGTCTGTAGCATGTTGAGCCGCATGTCAAAGAATCTCACATGAGATGATCCGGGGCCATCTTGGACATTCTTACGGAATACGGTAAACTCAGTTTCGGCCTTGAAGGGGCGGACGGGTGCCCAGCTCCTGTTGTGAGCTACAGGAAAAGCTCCACGTTCTATGAGGTCACCCTCCGTGAGTCCCACTACTGCCCGTCTTTTCCCATAGGTGTCGTGTGTAGAAAAGTCACAACGTCCTAAGCGTCCACGAACAAACAGCCATGATCTGTCCCAAGCTCCGGTTGTCCATTGCAAACTGGGACATGAGCAAACCCGGAGAGAAAAGCAGAAATACAGTAGAGGCCATCGAAGCTAAGACTCCCTCTCCCAAGGATAACATAGAATCCTCCAGGATAGAGACCCCTTCCCCCAAACGAGCAAGTGATAAATGTCTGCCCACTCCCGCAAAGGCTGACCTGCAGAGAAACGAAAGAGAAACTCAGGTACAGCCCTTAACTAGGAGCCAAACTCGTCAATTGCGAAAAAGCTGGAAGGAACTGTCCAAAGCATTTGCAGAAAACTGAATTGTACGAGGGTGTATGTGAAGTGAGTAGCAAACTGAACGTCAGAATATATGCTGACGACGTATTGATATCAGTGGGCAGTATCCATGGTCCTGGAAACAGCACCAAGGACTGGCTGGGTGTACTCATAAACACCAATCAACTGTTCCAACTTTGGAGAGCACTTGATGGTGTATTTTTGACATTGTTTTGTGTCAACATGTGCGCATGGTCCAATACTAACGGCGAGGGCAGCATAACTGTTTCTTAGAGTGGGCAGCTTGTGCCGACGCGCGTTGTGCTCATTAATACGCGGCCAATCCCTCCAGCTGGCCAGTTGGCTCGAGAGGTTGCATGGGTAAAGAGCCAATTGAGTTTCCTGTGGAATTCTGAGAGAAATTGGCGTGCTCAGCATCAAAGGGGGCAACGCCACGACACTGAACAGACACACTCAGTTACAGGATTGACTGCTGGACTTGTTTGTGTTCCTAGTCGGTTCCCATCAGTGTGTGCTTTTCTTGCTGGGGTATCAGTGGGTTGCATTGTTTCCTTAGGATCACTGTGCCTTGGGATCTGGGTAGGACATGTCTTGTAATCCACCCCGGAAGTCTGACCGTGGCTCGTCAGCACGACTGGACAGCCACATCATTGTCATTGAACAGAGGCCACCGCCCAGAGGTGCTAGTGCGCCCTGGCTACCGCCTCGCGTCACCACCAATCCATAACCAGTTTAGCACTCGGGCGATAATCCATGCACGTCACTTACATATCATTGGGTTGTGCACTGTGACAGCACTTCCGCACCGCGATTCGGCCTGAGTTTGGTGGCCATGATGGCAGGCAGACAAGCATGGCCCACTGCCAAGCGTGTGATGTGCATCCACGACTTGAGCGATGCATTAGACTGTGGTGCAGGGGCGCGGCCTCAGAGCAAGCAGCAGTTCAAGTTACGGGGCCATCGCCAATACATATACGTGTACGCAGTCAGTGCTCCATGGCTGGCACCAAGTTGAATTGTCCACCTGCGGCAGGTGCTGCATACCTGAAAAGCAAGCCTGAAGCATTTGATGAGCGCCATAGTGCAAAGTTCTTCTATTTTACAAATACAAAGCAACTAGGCAGTGGGCTGCCTCCTTGAGGGTCCCCCTGAAAACCGTTCATTTCAGAACGTCAACCAGCTATATGGCGTGATCTGACAAAACTCATCATGTCCACCACCCCAACCCCACGCGCGCCATTCGTGGACAGTCTAGGAATCAGGTCAGATTGGCTGCGCCCGCACATCCACATTGTGGCCACGTGCCATGCAGAGATTCGGAACCCTACGCCCTCAACCACCGAACCCCAACACCCTCAATCCCCAAACTCCAGTTCAGCTCGTCACACGTCCACAACTCCACACGGGGCACACCAGCAAGTCCGTGGGCTGACTCGCTGGCAAAGAGAACAACTGCGGGCGCTGCAAACGCGACCAGGCATTCACTGCGCCTGTTCTACGTTGCTCGACACATTTCGAGTCAAGCACACCGCTTTGCTCGGGCGAAATGGGGAGCTGATGGCTGCCTCCTCGCCTCGATATGTTGTTGTAACCAAAACTGATCGATAACCATTAATAGCTGGATGCATGACGACGTGATGAGGCACGAGGAACTGCATTGAGGACGCTGATGAACGGACTGGATGCAAGGTACAGCGTTCCTGTCGTCCCATTGCTCCGCTGTAAACCGTTGCCCGTATATTTGGGCGTGCGGTCCCTAGTCAGGGATCGCAACGCCTCGGCCCTGCCTGCATTCGTCAATGTAAGAATTCTTGATGAGGTGACGACGCTCGGCTCATTGCGTTTCGCATGGGTCGTCGTCCTGTTCGCCGGACCGCGTCCTGCTGTGCCCGCACGACATGGACCGCAGCCTGGCGCCCAGGCCCCTGGAGGTCTTGGCCGGCGACGCCCGGGCTGGCAAGAACGTCCGCACCATCACAGAGCACACCTCCTTCCCAGAGGCGTCCGTGATGGGGTGCTCCACCCGGGACACCGTCAGCGACCCGTCGGCCTCCTCCGTCCCCTCCACGCCGTGTCGCCGCCTCCTCTCCTTGGTTCGCCCGCCGAAGACCGTCCTGCCGCATTTTTTGATGAATCGCCCGGTGCGGCTCCGCAGCCCTCCGCGACGAGCTGCGCAGCCCCCCCCGCCCTCGAGCCCGTCGTCCGCCTCCCAGCCCTCGACGATCGGCGGCAGGTGGCTCGCGTCGTCCAGGCCGCAGGGCCGGGCGCTGTGCGGCCGCGTGCTGTCCATCTCCGCCTCCGCCTCCGCGGCGATCTGCGCCAGCTCCAGCGTGGGCGCGGAGCTGGCCCTCGTGAACTGGCCGCCGGGGATCCAATCGTCAGCGGCGGTTCGTCGCGTCAGGGGCGAGTCTTCGGCCATCGAGCCGTCGAAGAACTGGGAGAGCGCGACCTCGTACTGCTCCGCGCAGAAGCTGTAGCCGGAGGCGCCCGTGTCCGACTGCACGCTGGAGATCGTCGCCACCTGCGCCAAGTACTGGGCCTCCTCGTCTTGGCTTCCGTCTGCGAATCGGCTGTCGTCGGCACCGTCGTCGCCGACTTGGGGAGGATCCGCGCCGTCGCTTTCGGGCAGGTTGCCGCATTCCGTCGAGCACCAAACCTGCCCCGTGAGCTGCGGGTCGTACTCGACCGAGTCCGGAGGGAGGTATCGGTCCTGACCGAGTCCGTCGAGGACCGGAGCGCCGTATTCCGTCTCGTCGAAGTTCCGCCCAGAGTGGCCCTCGTCGGACTCGATGGGGCCGCGGGCCAGGTACTCGGCCTCGTCGTCGGAAGAGTATTCGGCGGGCCACCCTTCCAGCGCGGGATCAGGACCCAGAGACCCTGGTGGCACAACACCCTTTCAGCGACAACACCCGCGAGGGCCACACTCGACGACGTCCTGTGATCCTGTGACAAGGGACTGCTGTCTCACGTTTGATGTCTATATGTTTGTCTTCTCATTTGTCTATTTTCTGTTCAAAAGACGAAGCCGTTCAGATCCGTACTCTGTCGACACCATTATGTGCAGCAAGTTGATATACGGCATACAAGGCAACACAGAAACAGAGTACCCAAGTTGTGTTGGAGGATGTGTTTAGGAGATGCGGGTGATTTGGGTGATGGGTGTACGCATTGCTGCACTGTTTATTTGGCCACAGTGGAAAGGAGAACTGGCAGGGATTGACTCGTGTTCCGATGAACATACACTTGGAATCGTCCTCACATATCCAGCATCCTGTTCCTTGCACCTGGACAAGCCTTGACAGGATGAACGCATAAAAGCGTGGTGTCAAAGCGTCCTGAGTCGGGAGGAAGTTGCATACCCTGAACATGACCATTTCCATCCAACATATCCAGGATATGGTGCCCCTATCCAATAACATCCAGCATATGGGGCAGGATATGGGTCCACCAAATCCTGTTCGGTATCCAGGATACGGGGCTTTTTACAAACGCGGGGGCACGCCGTCCAAACCAAGCATTTGAATCCCATTCCAAGTGCAACGCGAGATATGTGTTCCCGTTCTCTATCCCTGGAAGCAACGCTGACCAACCAATTGAACGGCGCCCACCGTCCACCCAACCATGCCACAAGATTTGGTGTCCTCAATTAGCGGCGAGCCACGCAACGAGATTGTTGACGACATGACGAAAATCACGAGCAACCCAGCACTTCATCTGCAATGGAGCCCATGACCAGGCCGTCCCTTGCCATGGCCAACTTGCCGCCAGGGATGTGCATCAATTGGTGAAATGGGCCCGCCGCTGCTCACGCAGACGACCATTACCGACGGCCAGTGCGCGCCAGGCCAGGCCAGGCCCAGGCTGGGATAAATTTGCACCTTCCAAACGCGTCTCGAGTCTCAGCGGAAGACGCCGTCGACTGCAATCGGCTCCAGGTGCGGCGGCCTCACCTATTTTTGAGATGTAGCGCTTGACGCTGGCGAGCTTCGTCGCAAGGTCTCGAGCGCCGCCCGGCTTGCGCACCGGGCCCACCGACGCCAGGCTGACGTCCCCATTAGAGCGCTCCTCGCCGACGGCCGTCATCGCGCCGACGAAAAGGGGGGTCGCCGCCGGCGCTCGGCGATCTGTGGCCGATCCTGCGTTCGGAGAACGGCGACTGCGTGAGGGGCGCTCGCATCACCACGCCCACCCGCCGTGAGTCTTCAGGAGGGGCCCTTGCGGGCACCGCCACCCCCCAAGAACAAACAGGTGCCAAGACCGATCTCCAAAGGGACGAGAAACACGTCCTACTATACCAGGAATGGGCCCGTTCTTAGGTCCGCCTCGATGCGAGAACGCCGGGCACACAGTCGCGTTTCCCCGCACGCTGCCGGGTCCACACGCAGACTCACAGGGTGGCCAACTCGCGCAGGGCTTGCAGACTTTCATGGCCGCTAAAACTGCCCTTGGGCAACCAACAACGACTCCAAAGCGCACAACGTAATGAATGCCACACGCGCACCACACAAACGTCCAATAACAACTCCCGCCAGCCCCGCAGTCCGCAAGGTGCCCCCCCGTCGCCCAGGCGGCGGCCCGACCGGTCGCGCCACCGATCGCAGGGCCGACCGCTTCGACCTGCCGCGCGGTTCAGCGCGAAATTCTGGGCGGCACCGCGGGCGGCTGCGCACCAGCCGGATTACTTCACCGCCGGAGTGGATCCGGGCGCGCACCTTGGACCAGTCCAGGTACGAATACGTGCCGTCGGCGGGCAGGCGGCGCCTGGGGTTCCCTCCTCGGCGGCCGGGGAGGGAAAGAGGTTGTGGGGGCGCGACCACAGACCAAAGGGCCGAGTATTCAGGGCCAGCCCACAAGGGGGCCGCATCCCGGCGAGAATATCCCCCGCCCGTGAGCGTGGGGATGTGATGCGACAATTCACACTTGGAATGTGACCGTTAGTAATGTTGGAGGGTCTCGTGGCGACGAGCGTATGTCCGGCAGGGCCGAATGGGGTTGGGGAACATCAGGCCGGGTGGTGATCTGAACTGGGCGTGTCGTATAAAGTGGTTGGTGCGCCGTGCGAGCGGACTGCAGAAGGAGTGGAAGGGTGTTTGGCTGCGCCGGGAGGTGCGCACAGGCAGGGAGGGATCCGACACGAAGCTCTTGCTCAGGGACGGAACCCATTGTTGGGGACTGCAAGTTTGGTTGCTTTCTTGCTTGCCCTTATTGCTCGGCCGGCCCGGAACCTCACAGTTCCCTGTGCAAAGTTGGTTGGGTTGCAGTCCTGTTTTTATTGCCAGCTCACCATTCCTACCGCCATCGCCAACCACATATCCTTGCCTGTGGGGTCCTGCCGCCCCGTTTTAGGGAAGGGGTACCGCGAAGGCCTTGTAGATGTGGTTTGTTGAACCTGTTCGTATGGCTTTTGGGGGCACGAGGTGTGAATAAAATGCATTCAATACCAATTTCTTGGATAGGGGGGAACAAAAGCAAGTTTGGTCAGCGCATGTGTGGCTGCATCAAGTTGCTTGGGTGGTGAAGGGGTGTGTTGACGTAGTTTGTGTGCACGTGGGAGGTAGGTTGGGGTCAGATTGGGACTGCCGAGAAATAGCTGCCCTCAGGGTCGGCTGTGCTATGCATTGATTGTTGAGTGTGCAATGTAATGACTGGGGAATGCAGCTATTCGAAATTGCTTGTCCAAATTGTATGTGTTGCCCTCTCTTTCCACATGCAATTTCGACAGGTTGCACTTCCCATTCAATGAATTGCCCAACTAGAGAGGGGAGTAACGAGGACAATGCGTTCGATTTGTTGGGCATTGGCTTGTGATGCAGAGCGCATATTTGCTGGTGCAATGTTGCAAATTACCTAGAGTGTGGGGGGGGAGGGAGGGATGCAGTAGGGCACACAGATTTGGTATGGGCAACAAATTGGGCAACATGGGCATTCCCATGCATAGATTGTATGCCAGAAAACTGCTTGGTGTGATTAGGGCTTGGGCACTGCATGGCTGCTCAGGCAGGCTGTGGTAGCCAACAGATTAGCTTGTGGCAAATACGGGAGTTGTTGGTTCTGGGATTGGTGTTATGCCCTGTTGAGTCAACCCTGCAACACATCGCACCCAGTGGGGGGAGTGGGGTGGGGTGGGGTGGGGTGGGGTGGGGTGGGGTGGGGGTGGGTGGGGTGGGGTGGGGGTGGGGTGGGGTGTGGGTGGGGTGGGGTGGGGTGGGGTGGGGTGGGGGTGTCCTACTTAGCTGTAGCAACAGTTTGCAGCTACCCTTTGCATCAGTGGTGCACTCGCAGATCGGCAGGGTCGCACAATGAACATAAGTGAGGATGCAGATCTGGTAGGGGTAGTTGGTTGGGGTTTGCGTGGGCAGCACATTGGAACAATTGGGCAGCAGTTACTGCTAGCATTGATGATTCGATGCACAGAACCTTGTGGATCTACTTCGAAGCATATGGCAGGGGGCCTTGATCATGGGGCACATGGTGTAGGGATGCCAGCAACGCATGTGTTCTATGCTGGTGGAAACTGGGGTGATCTTCCTGTTGGGCGATCGGAATCCCAGAATCGACAATGATGGGATCGACTATGGTGTCAATTATGGTGTGGGCCTTAGTCCTGCCCAGCATTGCATATTGTTGTGGCCAAGGCACTTGGGCCCACAAAGTCTTTACCATTGGATGTTGTTGTGGCCATTCACCAATGGTCTTCACTCCTGATTTATTCACACGCGTTCACCAGCTCCCACGCGTAATGCAGATAATTTTCTCCTCCTTCTCTGTCGATTCATCCTATTCAGTGCCTTCAAAATCGCGCTGTTCATCACGCTGTCGATTGAGCATGCATGTCGCTTTCCATTGACGAGGCCCTGGCTACACGTCGATTTCTGGGGCCTGAGACTCTTCCACTGTCACGGTGATCAACAGAAAAGCGCTTGCTTCCCGAGCACTAGGGAAAAAAGGGCCAAATAACACTTTTGCGAACACACATAAAACACATTTCATCAAAGCTCTGCACGCTAAGAACACAAAAATAACACAAGCCCGTAAACTTTGTACACGTTTGAACACGTGTTATTTGGCCCTATTTTTCCTGATGGAGGTATCGATCCCTTTTCGTGTATATACATCATCGCCGTCGCCCTCCAACCGCCCCGTTTCACACTCGCCGCAATGAAATACGCACGGTATGTTTCTCGCTCGGTTGTGATCGAGTGCTGAACATGGCGGCAGCACGCCACGACGATTGGCACGCCAGGTGTGTGGCTAGACAAGTAGACAAATGGCAGCATAGATGTTCAGCAGGGTCACCAGAGCGTTGCCAGTAACTTAGGTATGAAGGCACGATGGCGCCGGACAAGCGACAGCCAACGTGGCTGCAGCAGATTCCACACAGTCAGAAAGGGTTGCTGCGCAGGCAGCAATGCCATGCCGTTGCCGTCTCTTGATAATCGCTAGTGGAATCACCAGGTCGCGCAATGCCATGGAAAATGCCGCAGAAAGTCATGTCAAGCTGCGACGTTTTGCGCCATGTTTGCTTCATGCTCAAAGTTGGGATTCAGCATGGGGTCGGGGCCCCGACCTATCCACCCGGGTGTATCCACCCGGGTGGATAGCGTGGGAGGCTGAGGGAGATCTGGAGACGAAGGAATAGAGGATTGTGAGCAACGGCAATGGTGGCGATGTACCCCCACTGGATACACCGGATGCCACAGTCCACCACCGATCACCTTAAACTCCCTGATCAGATGGTGGATACGCAAGTGTGTGAATCAACTTCAAGGGATTGTGGCAGCTGGCGAGTATTCAATGGAATTGGGGTGATATTTTACATTCACTTATGTGCCAGTTATAAGTGGAGAAGTGAGATTGAAGGAGGGATGTCTATGAGTGGATCATGTTCGTTCATGTCTGAATGACTCTTTGGATGTGGAAAGGAGTAGAGGAATTAAACTCACCATGACAGACAGTTCGTGGTTCTGGCGATGTTAGGGATGATACGAAATGCAGTGCTGTGTGCTTGATATGGATTCTTACGAGGTAGTGATTGGTTTCGACGACAGGGAGCAATGAAAATTTAAACTAAACATAAAATTGAATTGACCAGGGGACAGCTGTGATTGTGAACACAGCCGTTTGACACTGAAGGATATATAAAGATCTGTGGAACAAATTGAATGGGACACCAAATCGGTGTTGGGATGCCCGTGGGCTGCTTACTGCTTCATTTTACATTTTAAAGCACAATCAGAAGCTGAATTTGCTATCCTATACAATGCGACAAAATGGTTTGATTTGAAAGTCGGCATGAGTATTTGTAGAATACTCGATCGAGTAGTGGACCTTCGTGAATGTCCGAGGAAAAGCCTGTGGAGATGAGAATTTATCTCTGAGAAGCCGCCACTCATGCTCATTGTGAGTCTCAAAACATATTTTGAGTGGTTTTATTCCATTATTAGTGCATATTACCACTCTGATCAAATAAATCTTCAAAACTGGCTTGGACGCAGCTTAGAACGCTGAAGCAGAATGTTCTGCTGCAAAGATCCGGCAAGGCACGACCGAATCATCTGGCTGAAGCTCACAAAGTGGGTGTCCATATCCTCGCAGCGAATGTATTGGAAAACAACGTAACGATGGTAGCAACGTAACGTGACGTAGTAGTAACGTAACGGAGTATGTGAGCAGGTTAGATGGCTATTCGGCAAACGTGACGTTATGAGACGGCACATGAATGCGCATTTCCTCATCTGAGGATCACTTGAAAGAAAATCATATGCATTGGAGAGATGACATGAAAGAAAATTTCATATCGTGTTCTGTAGGTGTTCTGGAGATATCGAGGCCCGCTTTACTGGTCATCAACCACATGGATAGGAAGAAGCGACTTGTGCAATGAGATCATTGAGTCAAGGGCTGTTCTCGGTCGGGCTCTCAAACGCACGACAGTCAGCTTCGCGCTTGACTGTATACAAATACGTACTGGATTAGCAGCGTGAAGGGCGTCAACACTGGGATCTGGGCGGCCACCGTGTGAACGCACACTACTATGGACAGTGGAAAACGACGTTTTGGTAGTGATGCTTGCGATGCCGCTT